TTTTCATAAACCGTTCCATCCCTAGTTCAGCTGCATCTGTTTCCAGAACTTTCCTCTTTATAATTCTGGGTTTCTCCACGCTGCCTTCGCTCCTTTACTCCGTCTTTCATACACCGTTGACCAACCGAGGGTGCCTTAACTCAGGGAGCGCAGGGGGAAACAAGCTGGCGGTGTAGATGGAGACAGCGCAGGGATGGAAGATGGCGTCTGGCTGAACACCGCCAAGAAAAACGATCAACAGCCTTTGGGCCCAAAACTAAGACTGGGAAATATCCAGGTCCTCTGATTGGTTAGCCGATCAGGGCCTGGTGGTAGAGTAGTGTTTGGGTGGGAGGAGCAATATGGCTGCCTTTGTACTGGAAGTTGAGAGTTGCTGTGGTTTAGGATCATCCAGGTGGTCTGTGGGACCCCGGGGTCACTGGGGCCTAAACAGGTGGGTCTTTGTTCCTGATTTCAGTCCAGCAGGTAGAGGTGGGAACTAGAAGGTCCTCGTTACCGCAGGTTTCCCCCCAGGAGAGTTTTTATGTCCTTAATGTCTGACTGCCTCTCCTCCCTTTGGTCCATCAGGGGAACAAAGGCGGGGTGTCCGTCCGTCTGTCCTTCTATGGACACATGCTCTGCTTCCTTAACTGCCACCTGGCTGCTCATATGAACTACGCCAGTGAACGGGTGGAGGAGTTTGAATACATCATGGAGACGCAGACGTTTGATTGCAAAAAAGCTCCCAGAATCGTCGACCACAGGTGAGAAAACCCCCGCGCCTCCGTCATCCAAGCGGCGACGTTCTCCCGCTTCATCTCTGCCGTCTGCGCATCCAGGCTGGTGTTCTGGTTCGGAGATCTGAACTTCAGGATCCAGGACCACGGCATGCACTTTATCCGCTCCTGCATCAACAACCAGACCTACGACCTGCTGTGGAGTCGCGACCAGGTCGGACCCGTTCGCCGCCTGCTCACTGATTAATCACACCGGTTCTGGTTCTGAGAAGCAGGTTCTGGTTCTGTTTTCAGTTGACGATGCTGAAGAAGAAGGAGCCGCTGCTGCAGGACTTTGAAGAAGGACCTCTGGACTTTCAGCCGTCCTATAAATTTGATTTGAATTCAGACACTTATGACAGCAGGTAATCGGATCCAGATCAGCACCATGATTAAAATCACCAAATGATTTCACATCGTTTTACTTTCCGCTCTGTTTAACTTTACAGGCTCTACGCATCATGGTTTGGCTTTAAGTAAGGGTCCATAGAGGTTAATCAGAATACAGCGCCCCCTAGAGGCACGCTGGCTCCTCAACAAATCTGAGTTAGAAAAACAAACTAGAATGTGTTTTAAATGGCATTAATGTGATTTCTTAACATGAAGCATAACAAAATATATGTTTGGGTCAAAATTATTCATACCTCTTTCACATTAATTGAAATGGAATCCAATAGAGAATCTAGCTAAAGGTGAAAGCTGCACGTTTTAACTCCTCCCACCCAGCAGGTGGCGCTCATCTGCTCTTTTTTTCCTTACTGTTAGCTAGCTGGTTGCAAGGTCCGCTAATGCTAATGCTAATTCTAACCAAGGTTCATTTTACTGTGCTAATTAATGGATTTTAGATATTAATCAAATTTTCATTTTTAAGAATTAATTTTTTTGGGAAGTCTGGATTGTTTTCCCCTTTAGAGAAAACAGTTAACCTGATGCTGCGTTCACACCACAAACCTGATGCCGCGTTCACACCACAAACCTGATGCCGCGTTCCCACCACAAACCTGATGCCGCGTTCACACCACAAACCTGATGCCGCGTTCCCACCACAAACCTGATGCCGCGTTCCCACCACAAACCTGATCTGATGCCGCGTTCCCACCACAAACCTGATCTGATGCCGCGTTCCCACCACAAACCTGATGCCGCGTTCCCACCACAAACCTGATCTGATGCCGCGTTCCCACCACAAACCTGATGCCGCGTTCCCACCACAAACC